GTTCAACTTCATGCATATTTTCGCAATGTAAAGAATATGAAATTTAACATAATTCCGTTGTTCAAGTTCTGCTAACCAAATTCCTTGTGTTGCTTACCGCCCGCACCCGAAACTGAAATTTTGTCATTTGCTATGATGCGCATTCTATATTTCTTCATATTCTCTGCTATTACCTATTGTTTGCCAACATTTATTTTAATTCTTTTTACACCCAGAAGTTTATATTTTAATTCTACCAGGATTCGGAATTATCTCTACTATTATTAGCCAAGAATGAAGATAAAAGGAAATTTTCGGTTCTCTAGGAATGATTTATGCTAATAATAGCAATTGGTCTTTTAGGATTTATTGTATGAGCTCATCATACCTGCACAGTAGGAAAAATGTAGACACTCGAGCATATTTCACTTCAGTTACAATGATTATTGCTGTACCTAGAAGTATCAAGATTTTTAGTTGATTAGCTACACTACGTGGTACACAATTAAATTATTCCCCAGCTATATTATAAGATCTAGCGTTTGTATTCTTATACACAGTAGGGGAGTTAACAGGAGTTGTTCTTGCTAACTCATCTGTAGATATTATTCTTCATGATACATACATATTATGTAGTAGCTCATTTCCACTATGTATTGGCAGTAGATGCAGTATTTGCTATTATAACAGGATTTGTTCATTGATAATCATTATTTACAGGATTAGTACTAAATCCTAAATGGTTAGAGAGTCAATTTATTATTATATTTATTGGCGTAAATCTAACATTCTTCCCACAGCACTTTTTAGGATTAGCTTACATAACATGAAATGTAGTTTCTACGATTGGTTCATCTATTTCTTTACTAGGAATCTTATTCTTCCTATTCATCATCTGAGAATTTGGTAACACAACGACAAGTAGTTTACGCTATACAACTTAGTTCTTCAATCGAATGACTCCAAAATACTCCTCCACCTGAACATAGTTACTCAGAACTACCTCTTTTAACTAATTATTTAATATGGCAGATTAGTGCAATGGATTTAAACTCCGTGTATAAAGTATTTTACTTTTATTAGAAACTAATGACAACATGAGCTGAACTTGGCCTTCAACATAGAGCCTGTCCTCTTTTAGAACAACTTTCCATCATTTATGATCACACTTTAATAATTTTAATAATAATTACTACATTAGTAGGTTACTTAATATTTATAATGTTCTTTAATAAATACACTAACCAAAATCTTTTACATGGTCAAACTATTGAAATAATTTGAACTATTCTTCCAGCAATTGTTCTACTATTTATTGCTTTTCCTTCTCTTCGACTATTTTATTTGTTAGATGAAATTAATGAACCTTCAGTTACATTAAAAGCTATTGGACACCAATGATACTGAAGCTACGAATATTCAGATTTTATAAATGTAGAATTCGATTCATATATAGTTCCAACTAATGAAATGACAACAGATGGATTACGACTACTAGACGTTAGTAATCGTGTAGTTCTACCTCTAAATTCACATATTCGAATTTTAGTAACAGCTGCAGATGTAATTCACTCATGAACAGTACCAGCTTTAGGTGTAAAAGTTGATGGAACTCCTGGTCGATTAAATCAAACTAACTTCATAATAAATCGTCCTGGATTATTTTATGGTCAATGTTTAGAAATTTGTGGAGCTAATCACAAATTTATACCTATTGAAATAGAAGTAATAACTAATTCATAATTATCATTTGATGACTGAAATCGAGTATTGGTCTCTTAAATCATTTTATAGTAAATTAGCACTTACTTCTAATGAAAAAAAAAAAAATTAGTTAAAAAATAACATTAGTATGTCAAACTAAAATTATTAAATTTATTTAATATTTTTTGGTGCCTCAAATAGTTCCCATTGGTTGATCAAGTTTATTTATTATCTTTTTAATTACTATTATCTTGTTCAGTATAATAAATTATTATTCTTTAATTCCTAAAACACCTAAATCAGATATTTGAAACAAGTATTCAACAACTTCTTTAAACTGAAAATGATAACAAATTTATTCTCTGTATTTGGCCCTTCATCAAGTATTTTCAATTTGTCATTAAATTGAATAGAACATTTTTAGGACCGTCACGATAACATATTTTTTGAAATTCAATTCTTCTTACACACTAAGGAATTCAAAACTCTTTTAAGCCCATCAGGACATTCAGGATCAACTTTTATTTTTGTTTCACTATTTTCATTAATTTCATTCAATAATTTTATAGAGTTCTTTCCCAATATTTTTACATGAACAAGTCACTTAACATTTACACTTGCATTAGCTCTACCTTTGTGATTATGTTTTATACTTTATGGATGAATTAATCATACACAACTCATATTCGCTCATCTAGTTCCACAAGGAACTCCTGAAATATTAGTAATATTATTCGACCTGAAACCTTAGCTGTTCGAATAGCAGCTAATATAATTGCAGGACATTTATTACTTACTCTTTTAGAAAATACTGGCCCTTCCCTTTTTTATGCAATTGTATCCTTACTACTAATTGGTCAAATTGCTCTATTAGTCCTAGAATCAACCGTTGCTATTATTCAATCATATATATTCGCAGTTCTAAGTACACTATACTCTAGAGAAGTAAATTAATGTCAACACACTCAAATCACCCATTCCATTTAGTAGATTATATCCCCTGACCTTTAACAGGAGCAATTGGAGCTATAACTTCTGTTTCAGGATTAGTAAAATGATTCCATCAATATGATTAATCTCATTATTTGCTTTAGGAAATATTATTTCTATTTTAACAGTATATCAATGATGTTTCTCGAGAAGGGACTTTCAAGGATTACATACCTTACCCGTAACATTAGGATTACGTTGATCAATAATTCTATTCATTTTATCAGAAGTTTTATTTTTTGTAGCTTTCTTCTGAGCGTTTTTCCACAGAAGCCTACCTCCAGCTATTGAGCTGTATCACCTGCGGGGATTCAGTTTATGGTTCTACCTTTTTCATAGCAACAGGATACCACGGAATTCATGTATTAATTGCAACAACATTTCTTCTAGCATTTTTAATTCGCCATTTAAATAATCACTTTTCTAAAATCCACCATTTTGGATTTGAAGCAGCTGCATTATACTGACATTTCATTGAAATTGAAATTGAATTTATTGATGAGGAGGGTAATTAATTTTTATCTATATAGTATATAAGTATATTTGACTTGCAATCATAATTTCTACTAATTAGTAGTATAGATAATTTTTTCAACTGCTATTATAGCATAAATTTTAATTATTATCACCAGCGTAATAATAACACTAGCCTCTGTTTTATCAAAAAAATGGCACTAACAGATCGTGAAAAATTGTCTCCTTTTGAATGTGGGTTTGATCCTAAATCTTCTTCACGACTACCTTTTTCCCTTCGATTTTTTTAATTACAATTATTTTCTTAATTGTTGATGTAGAACTTGCCCTTATTTTACCTATAATCTTAATTATATGAGCCACAACGAGAATTGTATTTATTATTATCCTAATTATTGGATCATGAATGAAATCAAGGAATATTAGATCGATCAAATTAGGGTTGTAGTTAATTATAACATTTGATTTGCATTCAAAAAGTATTGAAATATCAATCTACCTTATAATTCATAAAATGAAGTGATTTATTGCACTTAGATTTTACCTAATCTTAGGTATTTTAACCCTTATTCTAATAAATTTAGATATTAATTATGTTTATTAATTGAAGCCAAAAAGAGGCCTATCACTCTTAAAGATAAAACTGAGATCAATCTCCAATTAAGGAAGTATGACGTTAAAGAAAAAGCTGCTAACTTTTATCTTTTATTGGTTAAACTCCATTTGTACCTCTGTTTATATAGTTTAATAAAAACATAACATTTTCATTGTAACAATAAAATTTTCTATTTTTATAAATTACTAAATGTAATACACTACATCCAAGAATTATACAATTACCCTAACATCTTCAGTGCTATGCTTTGTCTTAAGCTACTTAAATAAAAGATTACAAAAAAATTAAAACAAGAAAATAATTCATAAAACATGTAATAAAAGATAACTCTTTAAATTGTTATTATGTATAACAGATATATACTGAGAATATTTAACTAATTCATTGTATAAATTTTTACCCCTAAAAATTCTGATCATCCCTGAACAAAAGACTTACATACTTTTATTCCTAACACTAAAGGCTAATTAATGATACCATAAGTTGAAATATAAGATATAAGTCATATAGAGCCAGAAAAATAACTAGCTTAATACTTATGTAAAGATTTGTTAAAATAAAATAAAGAAACATAAGAAATTAAATAACCTAATACTCCTACTACACACACAATTGAGGTTAATAATATTAAATAACTAGGTAAATAGATTATATAAGGAGTTGGAAAAATTAATCAACTTAATAAGGGTACTTAGGTACTAAAGAAATAAATTTTGATTAGCACCGCTGAAGTCTATAAGCGGCGTCGAAAGCCTAGAGCACAGCCACGTCGCCCCACGTGTTTCGGGCTAATCAGTCGCCTAAATTGGCCCTGCTGAAATAGGTATTCTATTAGCCAGTGATGTCATACCACAAATAATTTTTGAAAGTGTTAAGAAAATTTCAACCACCTTTTAGCATATAATAATACTCCACAAATTGACTTAAAAAAATGTGTGAAAATTCCCTCTCAAAACCCCAATATTAAAGAGACAAGTGTATCTAAATCCACCAAATAACCTAAGTATATTCAAAAATATTCCGAAATAAAAATTGTTGTACACTAATTTCTTTAAATTCGAAAAGAAATATTCAACAAAAAAAAAAAAAAAAAAAAAACTGGGGATCCAATGGAATAGGATATCTGATCAGTTTTCAACCGCTCCGCAGTTAATATCCACATTACCCAACTTATTAACTCTTTGTTAGGTTAATAACAAAAGTCTGTTTTATCATCTAGGGCCAAATTTCGACCCGTAAGATGGCTTTCGCCAAAATAATTCAAAAATCTTTTAAAAAATGTTGAGATATGGCCCTCCACTCCTTACCCAATCAGTGCATACGCGCTTAAACTTAACATACATATAACAAAATCGTTCAAAAACTCAAAACATCGGCAGGTATATTACAAATTCCCTAATAGTTGCCCAATTTTCAAATACTTATGTGGGCATGATAACTCAAAAATAAAGCTAAGGGGTCACCATATTCCCAATGCGGTACAGTGACGTATCTATACTTATAAAAACCAAAGGTTGTTTTTATTATATCTATCCAAGCGACCTTCATAAAACTTCAAATTAATTATGACGGAAACAGTATTAATGCGAATCAAAACTGATCTGAATTCATGGCCACTCACTGCACGCTTGTAGGATCGCTCTAACTCCAGAGAATTTTCTCAAAGGAGCTACCATTCTGAGCCAAATGAGGAGTCTTTATCTGTAGTAATGCTGATGATAAAGTAATTGTCAGTAGCCCCCAAAGGAAATTAATTTATATAAACGCGCATATATGTATATATCATAGCACATCCATAAGTCGTCAAAGCTAAACATCACGCATAATGAAGTTACAAGCACCAGTGCCCAAATGAAAATAAATCAAATGCATTTAAAACCAATAAATTGATTCCTATGCATACAGGTAAAAATTCGACTGTCTACTCCACCAGCAGCATGCCGAAATTTGTTATATCTCGCCTAGGAGGTCAATGATGTTTAAATCAGTAAACTCTCAAGTACATCTCTTTAGGGAGAATAAGAATACTGATGTTATATACACAGATTTTAGTAAAACTTTTGATAAAGTAAACCACTCAATTCTTTTGAATAAACTTGATCTTCTTGGTTTTCTTATCTTATCTCTGTTCTTGTTATTTATTAATGACATATCATCTGTTGTTAAGTTTTCAAACGTTTTATTATATGCTGACGATGTAAAACTTTTTAAATCATTCACCTCAAATAGTGAAAGATGTCAGTTGCAAACAGACTTAAATAACCTAGTTTCTTGGTGTGATAGAAATGTAATGCCATTGAATCTTAAAAAATGTAAAACGATGTGCTTTTCACGTAGATCTGTAGACCCTACTTCATACGTAATACAAAACTTTCGGTTGGAGCAAGTATGCAGTTTTGTTGACTTCGGAGTAAGTATGGACCCCAAACTCAATTGTAATCTTCACACATATTTAAAGCTAAAGGTGCCCTAAGTTTTGTTAAACGTTGGTCTAAATAATTTAGAGATCCGCTTACCACGAAAAATTTTTTTACATCTTTGGTGAGGGATATATTAGAGTATACTTCCGTGGTATGGAACCCTTGTTATCTAGTTCATTCTGAGAAAATAGAGTCTATTCAAAAACAATTTTTTACTTTTTGCATTAAATCATTTGCATTGGGATTCCAGTTTAAATCTTCCCCTTTACACTAACCGTTTAAAACTTGTAAATCTCCCTACACTCGCTAGTCGTAGGGAAATKCKTGGTATAATATTTCTTGTAAAACTCATCAATGGGTCAGTCTGTAKCCCATCTCTCTTGTCTGATATTAATTTTAACATTCCCGCTCGCTCTACCAGGCAGTTTARACCTTTACTTTTAAATTTTTCTAGAACAAATTTCGAGTTAAACGAACCATTCCGCCGTATATGTCACGATTTCAATTCTCATTCCAGCACATTTGATCTAACAGATTCTCTCTTTACCATTGATAAAAATATTTTATCTACTCTTAACAAGTAACTTTTAAAAATTATAAACTTTAATCTAGTTCTTAATTTTGGCTGTTGAAATTTTTGTTTCTGTAGTTTTGAGCAACTTAAGATCGCAATGCTTAAAACTCTCTTGCCTTTTATAACTCGGCTAATTCCGCTCGTTCGCGGATTGCGCCCCGCGCGTCGGTTGGGCGGGAGGAGGGTAATCGTTGGGTATTATTATTACAAAAAAAAAGTGTCACCAAACTGGTACAACCTTATATGAACTGCCACATATACTACATGATCACCAATATCATAGTCGATGCCACCACAATTGATTCTGCTGCGATATGCTCTATCGTCTACAATAGATAGAATCATTTAATTTTTCCCATTCTGATGCATTCAGAAAGTTCGGTGCATAAGGAAGGTACTACAGCAGAGAACGGTTCTTTTATCAAGCATATCCATTATGAAAAGGTTTTATTTTGCCTATTTTTTGTGATCCGATAATTTCTTTGATTGACAGGACAGTAGTTTTCCCAAATAAAATGACTAACAGATAAAAAAACAGTTCTTGGTGTCAAAAGTCCACCTAATATAGGAATGTGTGAAATATTTTGCAAAAGAAGTTTTCTTTTTGGAGTGGATACAAAGGCTGAAGCTTTTTTGTATTTTCACGGAATCCTTCATTTTTGACAATATAAAGTGGTTGTAGATCTTTTGAAGCCATTTTAATAAGAGATTCATCGATAACTCTCTTTTCAGTTTCTGAAAGCTCAGATCGCGCTCTTGTAACAAACAACTTTGTTTGTTTTGCGTAATTAATTGATGAACCAGAATTCTGCGGAAGAAACATTTCGTCGGAGAAACCTTTATGGTAAATGAGGAGACCGTCTCCTAATTAATCATGTCGACTGTAACTTTGGACCTTCGAGCAACCGCGAGATATAAAATTATAAAAAATCAGATAAAAAGGAGTTCGATTAATAAATCTCCCAATACCAATAATAAAAGAAGATTCACTACGAATGGTGCAGTCATTGAAAACGAATCTTAAGGAATATTTTGGTCATTCAATTCTACAATGGGGTATAGTAAAGCTTCTTGGTAAGCAGGGCTATACCCAATTCCTACGTTTACGTCCTCCTAATAACAGTGTCTGCTCACCAAAAGTGTAGCTGCGAGCAGGGGTCGGTCTTGAAACAAGTGGCTCGCTATATAAATGCTACGTAACAGTAACTTAAATCACAATGATCGTAAAATTACAGCCTGCCATCACCGCCGTCCAATAATAGGTCGTTGCAAGATTTACTACAGGGACCTTATAAAGGAGCACATATGCGGTGTACGATTTGTGGTGGGAGAAAGACTTAGTCGTCGAGTCTTGGCATTCATTTCGATGGATGAGCGTTAAACCGCAATCTGCATCAGAGCAAATTTGTTCAACATAACACTGATTGGCATCCATGCCCGACGGACTTCATTGCTTGATATGAATGGATGAAAACATGCTCGAGTATTGGATCCTAAGTGTGATCTGTCCTATCCACAAATAGGGATCCCCACAATCTGCGCCATATAGCGTGGGATAAGATTCTCCTCCTTCTTCTCCTTATCTGTGTAGTTTTAAACCTAGAAAATCTAATATAAACCATATTTTCACCACTTACCAAATCTTGCAAAAGACCTGTGCACCTCTTCGCCGATTTTAAAGCCGCCTTCTACAGCACGAAAAGGAATTGCCTTTGTGCTGCTAGGCTTGACATTCCCTTAAATTTAATACGCCTGTGTAAACTGACGTTGAGCAACACCAAAAGCTTTATCAGGATCGCGAACTACCTCTCCTCCCGTTCTACACTAAAA